TCTAACTACTCATAATAAACGAGTTTAAAGCATTGGAATTACCTCTAGTAGATCAATCTTGAAAAATCACAACTTTGGTGATTTTTGTGTTCAAGAGGATTTGATAAAGAAATCTAATATTTGGATGTAAGAATGATATTAGAACTCATGTATATTGAGTAATAATCAACCCAAAATATCATTAATAACTTACCTTGAATGATTGGACTTGATTTGAGCTCAAAATCGCCCATTCACCTCATGAACCCTAACCCCCAAATACTCAAAATACTCCCCTCCCCCGACCTTGTATTTATAGGCCCAGCTTTTTAGGTTTCAGATGCGGACCTAGATGCTTCGCATACCCACTTCACTCCTCTTTGAAGCTCGGATATGTACCTGGACGCTATGGCAGCACTTCACTGCCAGCCTCTCTTTCAGATGCGACCTCGGATGCTTCGCATCCGCAGGCTCCTCCGCCAGCCTTTGGTAATTTGATCATAACTTCTTGTAGCAATGTCCAAACGACAAACGGTTTGAAGCGTTAGAAACTAGACTCGATGATCTTTCATTTGATAGGCTTTATATCATATAACTACTTATATATATATATGTAGATATACTCGTCCAAAGTTTGGTCTTGTGCGTACTCATTTGGAACTTTAGTCCACCATGTAATTTCCAACTTGACTTAGACTTAGGGCTCTCCTTAGACCACACATCACTAATAATATGTCTCATACACTTATTATCATATCCAATTGATATCCATCAAATTAATAGTCCTCGTCTGCACACAAAATAGGCCTTACACACTAGCCTACCTCGGCACCACAAACCTTGAGTTCTTGGAAAATATTTTACGGGGCCTTACAGTCTTCTAGATCGTTCCCTTTAATAGCACATGTGTAAGAGGTGACATATTCGTTGGGGTCGGTCATCCCATTATATTTAGGAATTTCGAGCATTTTGAACTTATTGGGGATCGGTTTGGGAGCCGCGCTCGGGGGGAAAGGCTTTTGTACGAATTTTTTGGAATCCAAGCTTTTCAATACCGGTGGTGCCCCCGAGATCTGATCAACCCTGGAGTTATAAGTTTCTATTTTTTTGTCATTTGCTTCAATCCTCTTTTCTCCTGACTCAATTCGTTTTGTCAGTTACTCTAGCATTCTAATAATTTCAGGATTAGTCCCCAATTCTTGTTCATTTGACCTTACTATAACTGGCCCCGTTTTGTGGGTGACTTCTCGGGGTGGATCGGGTTCGGCCCTGCTCGGTGCTTGGGTTTGGCTCTGTAACTGAGCTATTGCTACCTATTGAGCTTGCAATATTTCGAAAATCATACACAGGCCGATCCCGTCTTCACCAACATTTTGGGTATTTCGAACTGCAAATCAAGTTCCACCATGAATGCTGTTTTCGGGGTCGGAACGTTGGTTCGCCTCGATGGCCACATGTGAATTAACGTCAATTGAATCTACGGCCCGAGCTCCAATGAGATCGACGAGTGGCCTTTCATCCCCGGTCGTCAGGTTGTTGTTCTTATCTTGAAGGCCAGCTTTGTTGTCGATAGGTAGGGCCATTAATTGAGGGTTCGTCGTTTTTAACCTGAAATCAAAGACACTTCTAAGAGAAAGTATAAAATGGTGTGTTTTGCAGAGATTCATACCAAACAACCACCGTTATCTTTAACTCCATGGTGGGCGCCAAACTGTTTACCCGAAAAACGGATAGAGTTGAATTTATACGTAGTTCTAAGGATACGTGGTATAACTTGGTAAAAAAAAGAATGAATACAAACCCAATTTGAGTAAAGAATGGTTGATAAACGAACAAGATAAATCAATGTTCAAAGCCCAAAAAAGGATAATATTTGCTATATGTGTGTAAATCTCAACAATCTCTGAATGTGATGGTGTATCAATGTATTTCCATCTGCCTTTCACAAATGATAGCCACTCTTCATCTAATGAAGGAATCCTACTTTGGAATAATTAAAAATACATAGTGGGGATCCCATGATAGATTAGTTAATTAGCTTTTCCTTGATTTCCGCCGAGATTCTCTTCCCTAGTGCGGCTACAACGGCTCTTTGTTTCTTGGCTCGATCTCGATCTTGGTCGGTCTCGGTATTGGTCGGTCTCTGGGTCTCGAGCTTGATATTGACTCGAGCTCGATCGGTCTCTGGGACTCGAGCTCGATATCGACTCGAGCTCGATATTGATTCGAGCTCGATATCGACTCGAGCTCGATATTGATTCGAGCTCGATATCAATCTGTCTCTGAGTATCGATCTCGATATTGACTCGAGCTCGGTATTGATCGGTCCATAGATCTTGAGCTCGATAACCCAACTTCACATCACAACTTGATATTATAATGACGACCCTCGGTCCATCATGCTCCAATCTTGACTAATTATACAAAAGACAAACTTGATTTTGACCGTATACAAGTTTCATAAACTCCATCTTGCTGTCCAATTGATCAAATTTAAGATAAAAAGGAAAAAAGGATTCTAATTCCACTTTATAGTGCATTTAATCAAAGCTAGTATGAAAACAAAAACTTCTGATTGTTTAAGAATATTCGAGTCAATTAAAACGTTCTGATTAGTGGAATTTGAAGGCTGCAGCATGATCCACACGAGACAATACACTGTCATTTCTATTGATTGCAGGACTTATGAAGTACTTCAAAATTAACGCACTCCTCAAAGCATATCCAAGTCAATTTTAAAAACGTTCGAGTTTAAATTAACTATTTAACCAATCAATTGATAAACCGCAAGTCACTTGATGTTGACATTGACTTTAACTTTATGTTAACGTGCTCATGAAAAATAGCTAATCATTTAAGCCCTCGAACAGGTATAGTATATGCTATAGTCTATTTCTATCCAAATCTACGTAACCAAACAAAACTGCTACTTTTTTATTTGCTTTATCAAACTAAATTGGTATTTGAAAATAATTATGTTCTTACTTCAAAGTCTATTTCTATCTAAATCTACGTAACCAAATAATTATGTTCTTACTTAAATATATGTGTGCACACCCATGCTCAAAGTATTATATAATGTGATGGTTATTGACTGTGCCTCTCTAGGTGAGGTTGTGAGTTCAAATTTTATGTCAATCTTGTTGTTTTTTCCTTTTTTTCTAAAATTAGATGCCCACGGGAGATGAATGTGTCTGGTGTTATTTTTTGCGTATTAATTAAGTACTTTTTCTTTTTATTTCTTTTTTTATTTGGTTTATTCTTTTAAAATTTTCACATATTGAAATTCCTATTCTTCTTTTGTCGCTGTAAAATCTTATATGATTAAACAAAATGTGTATATTAAAACTAGTAGCAGTGTATGATGTAGCATATAGTCAATGGGTCCAACTGATCTCAATATTTTCAACATGAAAAATAGATATAGATATAAGAAAATTACTATTTAAAAAAAAAATTGAACTTATAATTCCAAAAGTGCAATGGGTACGCAATCGTAAGAACTAAAGGTTGAACCCGTAAAAATTATATTCTGGATCCACCTCTTCTTAATATTGCACCCATCCTGCCAAAATCCTGAATCCGCCTCTGCCTAGCGTTCAAATTTCATGCAAAAAAATAACAATTGATCTCTTTCAATATGTTCAAGTTTTTTTTTATATATAACCGTAGTGTCCGGGCCAGCTTACGCGTACCTCGACTAATTCTAAATACCTGCTACTTTTCATTAGCAATATGTACCACGTAACTGTATACACCAATGCTTAGACAGATGAGAAGATATCACCTAGTTATATATATCCAAGTCTTGGTGGACAGAGTTACTGGTACATGTGCTGGCGGAAGGTAGCACGAACCTCGTGCGCAAGATGGTTCCGACATCACAATTTCAAAAAATATAAAAAAACAATAATCATGGTCATAAGTTATTGATATTTATGCTCATGTTAGATTCAGTGGTACAAGTTCACAACAATATACAAGATTTACCAAAGAACAATTAATTAATCTCTGTTTAAATCTTTTATTTGACAAGAGTGGTGAGCAACCTCCACTTCCAACCAAGAGATTATGAGTTCGAGTCATCCCAAGAGTAGGGATTATACTGAGTTATTGTTGTTGTTAAATTTTTTATTTATTTTTTAATTACAAATAAATGCGTTTCTATTTCATTGAAATTGTCAAAGTTGGTATACATCATTTTATTCAAATAGGATTGAATTAATAGTGGACTGAGACGTGACTATAAATTCAAGCTGGATAGAGTTCATTTTCATTAAAATAAAGTATACACCACACGATAAGCTCTGCACAACCGAAAATGACTTTTAGACAGACATGATAACCTTTTAGACAGTCTAATCCAAACACTGTTCAAAATCGTTGTTTTCGAACCCTCCAAAATCCCATGTTTCCTAACCCCATTATTACAAAATCATTCACACTTCCTTTACCAAAAGTATTTGTTCACGTTCAATATTGGCTGTTGCATCAAGTTAGATAATTTAATCAGAAGAGTACGAATTAAAAACATGCAATTAATTATGATTAAGTAATACTCTTTTTAAAGATGGAAATACATATACAAAATATATGTAACAAAGTAGCTAAGGGAATCCCGTTCCAACTCGTATAGTATTTAAAGTTTAGTCAGTGAGAAGCCGAGTTCCGTTATTTAGCGTTAGCAAACTTGTTTTATATATATAGTAAAAAACAATTAAAACTTTATATTGTAAAATATGTCAGTACATTTGTCTATGAAATCATGTTATTACAAATAAAGGGAAAATAAAAAAAATCACACTTAAATTTTAAATTTTAGAAATTTATCATTAAAAATTGTGTATCACTCATTTCTCCATCATGGCAGTAAAAGAGACATGTCTGTACCATCAACGGTACCTGTAAAACCCAAGCCAACACGTGTCAAGCGAAGACATGAGTAGTACATTGTCCTCCGTACAACGGCAGTGTACCGCATAATTTTGCAACCAGCATTTTTATTACACGTGGTCTCTTCCATTTTAACGCCGGAAATCCCTCCACTTTTCCTTTTTCTCTACGTTCTCCGTTCAAACGCAGCACACAGCCAAATCTATATGTATCGCCGTAGATTTATACGGTATCACATAAATTGAGATTATTAGCATAAGTTAACAGATTCGATTTTAAACCCTAGCGTTACAAATCTAAAAGTCTGTGGATCCTACACTTACACTGTTACGCTGATCACTGCTTCATATAGTACACTGTGTGTGTGTGTGTGTGTGTGTTTATAGATATAGTTATAGATAGGGGAAGTGATAATGGGGGGAGTGACGTCATCGATGGCAGCAAAGTTTGCCTTTTTTCCGCCGAATCCGCCGTCTTATGGAGTGGTGGTGGAAGAATCGACAGGGAAATTGAAGATGACTGAGGTGGCGGCGAAGGAAAACGTCGACGTCTTGAGGCTATCGACGAAGAAAGGAACGGCGATTGTGGCGGTGTACGTAAAGAATCCGGCGGCGACGTTGACGCTGCTTTACTCGCACGGTAACGCTGCTGATCTGGGGCAAATGTACGAGTTATTCACTGAACTTAGTCACCATCTCCGGGTCAATTTGATGGGGTATACTTTCTCATGCTCATATAATATTTTTTATTAACTGCAGTTATTTGTGGCTGTTTTTCTTCTTCTTTTTTTTCTTTACTTTTTGGTGTGAAAAGTAGATGTCTTGCTGTCCGATGAGAATGAAACAGTGACTTTTTTTGTTTCAATTGTAGAATCCAGTGTATGCATCAACTGGTTAGTTTATAAGTTTCTTTTTATATGTCTGGGACTTTGTTTGTGTCTACCCTTCCCAATGAATAATAGGAGTATATAATTAACGTCCTAAAGCCTAATGCAGTTGATATACCTTCAGATTGGGTTAATAAACTAGTGATTGCATCAGAAAAATACAGCTGATGCAACTTCAGATTCGGCTTAATAAACTAGTGATTGCATCTGAGAAATTCTTAAATGTCATGCTTTTAGTGATATCTCAGTTACTTCATAAAAGAAATTCTTAAGTGTCATAATTGTATAATATCCTTGAATTTTTGGTATGTTCTTTGATACAAAGAGAGACTTGGTTGAACACTTATACTCTCGTAGTACGATTGAAGTTGAAATACTCCCTCTGTTCCATCTTATTGATTGGATACTGAAATTAGGATATTAATTTGACTTAAATGTATATGTTTGTGTATGTGAATAATAGTAGCAGTAGTTGAAGAAAATGCTTTAATAATGGTTAAAAAGCTAGTTTTTGTGAGAAAACATCACATTGAAGTTTTAAATTCTCATACAACTTTGAAGAAATAAATAACTGTCATTTGTTTTTATCAAAAAAATAATTAATGAAAGTTATTTTATTTCTTCAAAGTTGTAGAAGTTGTATGAGAATTAAATGGTATCAAATACTTTGGAACGAAGGAGCATTATTCTTGATGCTTTTCTGTATGTTCTTTCATATGAAGAGAAGACCAGTTGAGAACTTGTCTTCTTATGGCACAGCTGAAGTTAAGATGATAGATTGATGAAAGCTAGGATTATTTTTCCAGTCAGATCTGGTGAATGAGAAGTAATGCCGAGAAAGCTTGTTTCTTTATTGTAAGAGATAAACTTTATTACATCTGGACTACGTGGACTGTACAAGTAACATTTAGACCTTGCCCATGTATTGTCTTTGAAATTTACCTCTTGTTAGAACTTTTATGATCTCCAAAAAGTGAGAGATGCCCACTGGCTGTTTCCATTGTGTTTTGCTTCCTTTCGTCCTTTTTAGCTGATTGCATACATCTGAATGAAAGGTGGAGGAAAGTGTACTGTGAGTTTTCGAAAGAAGCTGATTACCCTCGTCCTTTTGAACATTGAAAATTTTGATTTTAAACCATGTTAGTGGGCTTATACATCTTTGAAGTTCAAATTACCTTAAACCTTTCTTCTGGCAGATATGATTATTCAGGGTATGGACGGTCCACCGGCAAGGTATTAAGGATTTATTTTGATGATAAATTAGACTGGAGATTTGTTGATGTTAAAGTGTTAAACCTCTTATATTCTTATTTTCCTATAGCCAAGTGAGCAGAACACTTATGCCGACATAGAAGCAGCATATAGATGTCTTGAAGAGACATATGGGGTGAAAGAGGAAGATATCATATTATATGGACAGTCAGTTGGGAGTGGACCCACATTGGATCTGGCATCGCGATTGTCAAGATTGAGAGCGGTGGTTCTTCACAGCCCAATACTCTCCGGACTTCGTGTAATGTATCCAGTGAAGCGGACATATTGGTTTGACATATATAAGGTTAACATAATATTTCTAGCAGTTTGTAAAGTTTAGTTGAAGGACTTGAGTTCATTGTGTAATTAGTTGCTTCTTTACGATGCAGAATGTTGACAAAATACCATTGGTAGAATGTCCTGTCCTTGTTATTCATGTGAGTATCCATGTTTCTTCTTCAACTTTCTACATCTTCTTCTACATTTCTTTAGATTAAATTGAAGTGTTGTATCATAAATTTCAAAACCAATTCACTGGTTAAACTGTGATCTTTGGATATAAACTAGGGTCATTCTGATTATGCATATTGGAGTAGGTAAAATCTTCCTTGCTTGATTGTGTTTATGGAGGACCTAGATTAGAGGTTGGATTAATGTCTGGAATTCTGCCTCCAGATCTCTCCCATTTAGCTTCCACTTACGAGCCTCAACTCCACCCGTGCCATGCTAATCTTCACCTCTGTTTTTCCTCTTTCTTTTTGGGTTTTAGATTTTTTATAACCTTTTTCTTTTCTTAATAGATTTCTATATCATGCTTTCTGTTTGGTTGGCTGTTCATGTTCCCTAAATATTGTATTGGTTGACATATGACCTCTTTTCGGTAAATGGGATAAGTCCACCACATTCAAATAGTCAACTTATATATATATATACACACACACACACACACACACCCCACTTTGTGTTATCTTGAATTTGTGTCTACATGTTTATTCCCTTTTTACATTTTCAGCCATTTCGTTCCGCAGATGTCTTGAAAATTCAAATGTAATAGCTCAATCAGACCTTTTGCTCTTGAGCTTCATGCAAGTCAATGCAGGCGATTCAAAATAGGACAGGGAAATATGAGTTATTGTCTTACGAAGGCTAAGAGTAGTATCATGTAGAAAAATTGATTTCCCTTTCATATTTTATCATCAATAATTCGTTGTAATGCAAAAAATCACAAACTCCGCCAAAAATTAATTTTTCTACAGCATTATAGTAGTATCCTGTTTTCTGGATGTACCTTCTCTGAAGGCCAATTTATTCTGTTTTCCGGATGTGATATAATGTTAACTCTTGGATTCAGAATTTCTAGCTGATATATATGCACTTTTTTGGGGAATTTCCAGGGCACTGCAGATGATGTAGTTGATTGCTCCCATGGCAAACAACTTTTTGAGCTATCCAAGCAGAAATATGAACCATTGTGGGTTAAAAATGGTAACCATTGTGATTTGGAGGTCTTCCCTGAGTACATAAAACATCTGAAGAAGTTCATATCAGCTATTGAGAAATCAACTGTTTTTAGAAATGGATCTGCACTATGTATGGACCAAATAGATAAACCTCGAAGCAGCACAGATTGCAGACCTCGTCCAAGCACAGATCAGAGAGAGAAATCCAGGCAAAGTGCAGACAAGAGAGAGCCTAGAACAAGCACAGATCGAAGAGATAAATCCAGATCTAGCGTGGACCGCAAGGAAAAGAAAAGCAAGAGTTTGGATCTTTCAGAAAAGGCGAACAATAATATGGAACAACCAGAGAAATCTAGAAACAGCATTGACCGGTTAGATTACCACTTGCTAAGAGTACTTCAATTTACCTCTATGTTAATTCATAATAGCCTGATATTGTATAAAATGCAATAACTGCTTTCATGACTAATGGATGCCACTGGCGGCAGCTTTGGTGACATGATGAGATCTGCTGTATTGTGCAATATCGACTGTTTCAAGCCTGTGGGAGCAAAGGTCTGAATGTCTGGTAAAGGTTAGTTTAAAATGATAGTCAACTCCACCTTAGACTTTTGAGCAATTTGGTTGTTTATTTGGGTTTTATGGTGTCATCTTCGATTTTTACCTTCTCCGGACTATATCGTGTATGCAATATGTTCCTAGGAAAAACTAAATGTTTTTTCTCTTCTTTCTCGTGCCTGATTTGCTTCGTAATTTTGGTGTCTTTATGTCTTCTCCTAGTAATACATTGGCTAGCCATTTGGTCGATGTTTGAAGTCCTTGGGCTAGGTTCATTCACCTCAAATAACTCAGTGTTAGTCTGATTACCTACTTTAGTGCACAGTCATGAAGAATGGATCTGATCTTCTAATGCATTTTATCAATGTGTTCCCTTTATCAGACATCTTTTGCAATTCAACAGCTTCAAAAGCAAAGAGATTTTATCTATTATCCTGGCTGTGGGGGTGTGCCTTTTTTGTCCTTTCGTATAATCTTGATATGAGCAAAGCCCTTCTAATGAAAGAGTAAGAATGCTTGAAATTTTGATGATTACTTGAAGAAGTTGTTTGGCAACTGGCAAGTGCAAGTTGGCAAACCTATGCTGTATATACTCCTTTTTGGTATTCAGTGGCCAAAATCTATTATGTTTGTCTTATTTCTTGATTGCCTAAAATTTGATTTTCCTGCCAAAATGCTAGAATGGGAAATCTTTCACCTGTAAGACCAATTACATGGAGTATATGTTGCTTTTTTGTTCTGGAAACAATTCCATATATTTGATCCCGAAGGTTATGTCTGTAATCTGAAGTTTGGTGCCTCCAGTCTTGTTGATGAATCATCCAGCTGAAACCTTTAATGAATCACTGAAATTAAGTGCAATTGAGGTTCTTGTGGTTGCTATATGTTTACATCATTGTGCAGTATAAATCACTGCAAAAGGTGTTAATTTATCACAAAAATTTCTAAAATATTTGTGAAATAAGGCATTCAGATAAAACCTTAATCTCTGAAAAGCTGGCTGAGAACCACCTCAAGAGTAATTTCTGGTGATTAGATAATAAACTGCAGAAATCGCAGAAAGGATCTCCTTTGTTGTTTAGGGATGGATTTGGCCCTTTGTAGGAAGAATGCAGGTCACTGATCATTTGCAAAGTAAACATTTTCCCACTGTTTTGCTGGTACCAGTGCATGGAGATCCCACATCCTTCCACTTAATTTCCCTTGTGATTAGCCGGTGTGAATAAAAAATAAACAGTGTTTTGGTTGATTATAGAATGTAATACTTGATTAATCCATGCTTCATTTGGTTTAGTAGAGATTGTAACGATTTTTGTTTCAACTTCTGCCCATTTTTCGCTTAGACGGATCTCCAGAACCTGCATGTTTTGTTAGTATAGAGTTTTGTGGAACACTTTCGCTTACAGTTATCCGATTGCTTTCAGAGGGCAGTTTCATACCAGGCAACGTTGCTGGAATTTCTACCAAGGATGTGCATGCTTCTGAGCTCGACTGAACTTTCCAATGCAAACACTGGTTGTAGATACCACGGCAAACCAAAATGGTCTTAGCATGATATAGCTCACACGAGATCCTACAATTCGGATGAATGGGGTGGTAACCAGGGAAAATTGGTTGGGTTTTCTCCCTTCGGGTTGGATGGTTATATATATATGACCCATTACAAGTGTTCTTTATTTATATGACCAATTTCATAGGAGATCTATATGCTAAGACGTAGGAGATCAGTGCTATAAAACAAATTATTTTCTTCTATTCAAATTGTAATTGGTTATTTTATACCATTTCCTCTGTCCCCGTTCCTGTGCCAATGGGAAATGTTATACTAGAATACCCTGGAGATATGCTCTTAACCTGTTACTCTTGGAAGCAAACCCAACTTTGTTATGGATTCAGAAGGCACCTAATCCTTGTGTGACGTTGTAGCAGCCGCTGAAATAAAAATAAACTATATCTATTCTTACTTTCAAAATTACTACTGTAGCATAACTAACACTTTTATTGAAAGACGGGTGGCAGACGGGCGGGTCGGGTCGAAAACGGGTAATTTAAAACGAATAAATTATCTGATCCGACCCGTATTTGAGACGGATAAAAAAATGTGTTATCCGGCGGATAATATGGATATCCATGGTTTCTTGAATATGATCACTTTTGAGAGAATTACTAGTCTCCCAAACTTGAGGAACCCCCAATTTGAGGTTTTACAAATGTAAAAGTTAAACACATTAATTATTCATTGATTAACCATTTTCTAGGTAGATAATATGGTTTTTATCTATATTCGACCAATTTTTTAAAAATTCATTATCTAATCTATTTTTTAATGAATAATATGGGTGAATAAATATTTTCTTTTAACCATTTACCACCTCTGTGAACGAGTAACACATACGGAAATCCGCCACGTTGAGGATCATCTACATGTTTTCCTCGATCTTGGCTTAGTCGTCAATACATATGTTGGCTTTGTAAAAAACCCTCCTCAATTTATCTACATTTACAAGGACTTTTCAGCTGTTTTGGCAAATCATTAGAATTTCTTTTCCTAAATTGTAAAGTAAATATGTTATAATATTGTAGTTTTTAAAAGTTTTGTTAGTTGTGGGATTACATCGAATTTGTCGTTGTAAAATTTTTATTAGTGTTTGTTTTTTTGGTTTTCCACATATCTGATACCATATTTGCATTGAGAAGTTCACTTTGAATCTGTTAGTGTTTGTTAAGCGGAAGAAGATTTGGTTCAAAATCAATATATTTTGATAAACATTTTAAAACTGACTAAACCATATTAAAAGAAATTCTCACTTCCAAAACGCATTAAAAATCCAAATTATGGCTTTTCTTTTTGTCTCTTAGTGAAAGAAAAACTTTTCGTCCAAAAATTCTGAAAGAGGCATACACGTGTCGCTTGGTCGGGGCTAGCCCGTAAAGCAGATGAAATATATCAAAGTGTCAAAAAGTAACCAGAGGGCATAGGCTACAGATTTGCTGATTAGCCACATCGGACCCAAAGGTTTAAGGAGGGTTTATAAAGTCGGTTTACTTCTATAGCCACCTCCCTAAGATCAAATATCTAATTCCCCTATTTTCCCTCTACTTGCCCTTCAGACTTCAGTCTCATGAATTTCTGCACTTCTACTGATACATCAATTCACTTCTCTCCTATATTTATTCCAACCTAAATTTTTCTGAACAAATTTGATGTCCAGCACTAAAACCCCCATTTCCCTTACCATCAAATTAAACCAATTCACTGATAAACCCACAGGTTTAGATATAAACCGATATCACAATTCCCCTATTATGTGGAGAAATATAATCAAACAGCTCTCTTCAAGAACCCCACAAAAGCTTCTTTTTAGCTCCAAGAATCGTACTTATAGCTTTCTTGGTTTTGGTCAAGATTCAGTTTTTAAGGACAATACGAAATTTAGATCCTTAATTCCAATTTCTTGTTCAAATATTGTGATGGGGTTTCAGAATCTTGGCGAATATTTGCCTGGGGATGAGTTTTTGAGCAGACCCTTACTCAAAAACCAAGTGAATAGCAATGATTTTTGTTGTAGAAAGAGCTATGCTAGTGTAGCTGAGGCTGTAGCAGTATCTTCCACTGATGCTGAAGAAGATGTGTCTGTGGTTGATGAAGTTCAAGAACTGTTAACAGAATTGAAGAAAGAAGAGAAAAAGCAGTTTGCTTTTAGGCGGCGGAAGCAAAGGATGTTGACTAGTGGTATGGGCCATAGGAAGTATCAAACACTTAAAAGGAGGCAAGTTAAAGTAGAGACAGAGGCATGGGAACAAGCAGCAAAGGAGTATAAGGAGCTTTTGTTTGATATGTGTGAGCAGAAATTAGCACCCAATTTGCCTTATGTGAAGTCATTGTTTTTAGGATGGTTTGAGCCATTGCGCGATAAGATAGCTGAAGAGCAGGAATTATGTAGTCAAGGGAAGAGTAAAGCAGCTTATGCTAAGTACTTGTATCAGTTACCTGCAGATATGATGGCAGTTATCACAATGCATAAGTTGATGGGATTGTTGATGACGGGTGGTGACCATGGTACTGCACGAGTGGTACAAGCTGCGCTTGTTATTGGTGATGCAATCGAACAGGAGGTTAGTTAGTCTGGAGCTTATCTGTTGCTGTTTGCTAATCTCAGTTGTAAGTAAATGAAATTTCTCTGTGTGATATAGAGAACACAAATTTTTGCATCAAACTTGCTGCATTATGAATTTTCTCTAAGTATTTCATCTGTGTTATTCAGCCCCTCTTCTTTGGTGTAGTTCATGTGGAACTGCCAAAGCTTGAAGTGAAAGTGGGAGGATCCTTAAATCGCATATGGAAAATATATATGAATGTAATAGAAATTCCATTTTGGTCAAAAGGCAATAGTAATCTAGGCCGGACTGACTTCCATCTTGATTAATTAAGGGACTCTTTAAGCATCTAAAAATGTGAAGGCAAATTATATTGAAGTCTTTTCAGCATTCTATATGTCTGTTTAGTAATCTATGCCAACAAGAAAATAGCTAAGTTGCAATCTAGTGACATCAAATGCTTGCATGATAGTATCTTTGTAAATTTGACGTAATTGGCATAAATTTAAAGACGTATGATATAGGGCAAACAAAAAAGTCAATGCTACCAGTTTGAATATTATGGGCTAGAAAATTTCGCTTGCCTTGTTGACACTGTCAGTGTAGTTCCAGGAAAAAATTGAATGTAAATGTTCACCTGCTTTGGTTTTGGCTGGATGTAGCTGAAACAAATATGATTACCTTAGTAAGATATTGCTAACATTTTTCATGTGATTGTTTTTAGATTCCGTCACTCCTACTAAATGGCAGACTAGTTACCTTTGTAGGTTCTTCGTAAGAAAGATCTGAGGAAGTTTAGGGTTCTAAACTGGAAAGGAGATGTAAAGAAAATGAATTTAATAAAGAACAAGGAGGTCGAAGGAGGAGCGATGTTCATTGATTAGTCCAAAGTGCATAGCTTTTGGAAAAAGGCTCTGAAGTCTGAATATCAAAAAATGAACTGCATGTTTCAAAAACATAGTCTGGTCATAATAACTGCACAATATGTCATACTTTAGCCTCTAAATTTGCACAAGATGTTCAAAATGGCTAATTATTGCTGTGATGTAAATGTGTCAGGGTAGTTTAACTAACTCTGGCTTGATGGGTTAAACTGTATTGGTGCGTGTGGTTACTCTTAATAACAAGAATATTCAATAATGTTTATTTGTTAGATCTAATGTAAGTGATAAATTGAACTGTTCTGTTGACATCTTTATATGTTAGACAAGATAGATTTCAAGCATATTCGATAGTGTATTATGGTGTTATGTTGGCTAACCGGTGAAAGAGCTTATTTTGGCTTTACCCTGTGTCACGTTTCAAGTTCAAGAAACAGTGGGATAAACTGAAGAGGACATAGACATCTTTTTTTAGGACAGTGCGAGGTGACTCAGAGCATTTCTCGGTTGTTATGGGTTACACCAAGGATCTATGCTCGGCCCGTTCTTGTTTGCCATGGCGATGGACGCATTGACACACCATATTCAAGGGGAGGAGCCATGGTGTATGTTATTCGATGATGATATAGTTCTGATTGATGAGACACGAGGCGGCGTTAACGCGAGGTTGGAGGTGTGGAGACAGACCATTGAGGCTAAAATGTTTCAAGTTGAGCAGGACTAAGATAGAATACTTAGAGTGTAAGTTAAGCGGCGTGTCGGGGGAAGCAGACATGGACGTGAGGCTTGCGTCACAAGTCATCCCCAAGAGAGGAAGCTTCAAGTACCTTGGGTTGGTTATCCAGGGGTATGGGGAGATTGACGAGGATGTCACGCACCGACATGGGTCGGGTGGATGAAATGGAGGCTAGCATCTGGCATATTGTGTGACAAGAAGGTGACACTGAAACTTAAAGGTAAGTTTTATAGAGCGGTGGTTAGACCGGCCATGTTGTATGGGGTGAGTGTTGGCCAGTCAAGAATTCTCATATCCAGAAGATGAAAGTAGCAGAAATATGGATGTTGAGATGGCTTTGCGGCACACTAGGCCGGATAAGATTAGAATGAAGATATTCGGGTGAAGGTGGGCGTAGCTTCCGTAGAGGACAAGATGCGGCAAGCGAGGCTTAGATGGTTCAGGGCACGTGAGGAGGAGGAGCCTGGATTCCCCGGTAAGGAGGGGTGAGCGACTGGCTTTGTCGGGTATAAGAAGAGGCAGAGGGCGGCCTAAGAACTATTGGGGAGAGGTGATCAGGCAGGACATAGTGCGACTTCAGATTTTTGAGGACATGGTCTTGATAGGAAGATGTGGAGGTCGAGCATTAGGGTTGAAGGTTAGGATGTAGTTGAGAGTTTTTCTACTTCGTACTGGGTGTGGGGCTAGTCTGATAGTGTTTTGTCTTATACTGCTAGTGGTTCATATTGTGTCCATACCACTTCCTCGTGTTCGTAGTACTGTGCCATTGTTACTGTTTATTGTTATTGCTTGTCTTTCTATTTTTTGGTTCCTACGTAGCTTCGTAGAGGACAAGATGCGGCAAACGAGGCTTAGATGGTTCGGGGCACGTGAGGAGGAGGAGCCTGGATGCCCCGGTAAGGAGGTGTGAGCGACTGGCTTTATCGGGTATAAGAAGAGGCAGAGGGCGGCCTAAGAACTATTGGAGAGAGGTGATCAGGCAGGACATAGTGCGACTTCAGATTTCCGAGGACATGGCCTTGATAGGAAGGTGTGGAGGTCGAGCATTAGGGTTGAAGGTTAGGATGTAGTTGAGAGTTTTTCTACTTCGTACTGGGTGTGGGGCTAGTCTGATAGTGTTTTGTCTTATACTGCTAGTGGTTCAT